GCCTTGTGTAGATTCTCACTAAATATTGACCTAGCAGGGATTATGATGGAGTATTATCGAATGTGTTTTTATACAAAACCTGTTGAACTAGGATACTCACATATACTTGAGAGACATTTTTCAGGCAATATAGATGTGTATAAATATGTCTACAAAAATGGCAGGTGACTATAGTGATGGTGTTTATACTCTGTATATAAGATGTTCTCATAGAGTAGATTTTGTTTCTTGCCATCTAGTTATAGCATTCAAACTTACACTACTAACTGAACTTCTAAGCTGTCAGAATCTGAGTTGGTCAGGCATTTTCAATATTGACCTTAGCAATATGACAACAAATCCTTAGCTCTTGTGACTATCTTTTTTTTTGTTAAGCTTTAGAAGTTAAAAGATTGGATATGAGATACTTTTCAGATACCTCAATGACTTGGAGTACTACCTCCTTGAGGTACCCCTAGGGCTTTGGGGTTACTAATTGTTTGAGAGTAGTTATTTCTTGCTTAAAAAGAGCCTCCAACATGCTAGCTCTTTTAAAGGCTGATGACAGTTTCACCTTGAAGCTAATGAACTGAGCAGCCCAGTAAACAATATTCGCTGAATTTCAAGCCCAAGATTTTCCTAGCATCAAACACCGTCTACACTATTTAGGAGCTGAGCCTGCCTAGTGCACAGCTCATCCAGTCTACACCATTAGTAGAATAGCAAAGGAGAAGGTGTCATTTATTGTAAAGTTGCTCATCAGAGGCTGCCACGAGTTTCAAAATCACCAGAATGATGTTCACAGTCACCTCTGGTGAGATAAAATACTGAAAACAAAAAGATCTTCATGGGACTAAAACTTGCAAACTCTTGAGTAAAGCTTTGGAAAAGTAAAATACGACAGACCACCACTGTCACCAGTGAATAATATCCACTTTGGTTCAAGTATGTACAACACCTGCTTGACCCCAAAACACTAGCAAATCTTGATAACTGTACCAAGTTTAGTTCTAGTCTTATACACACTTCAGCATTCCACCAGACTGAAACACTACTGCCTAACTCAGGCAATGTAGTGATAAAGATCAAGGCCATGTGATAATGGAAGAGGACAAGTTTTGAGAATAGAGCCATGATGAATGGTTAAAAGCCTTGACAGATCCATGATGGGCTAGCCAAAATTAGATACACGGTAACGAAGTTGTTAGGAAAATACACTTCCTCACTCAAGAAATACATGGCCACCTCCAAACCTTGTTGTTAGAGATAAAGTGACATCTTGTTCTGTGCAAATTTTTCGCGCGATCATCATTATTATTAGAAAATTAAAAGTATCTTAAAACTAAAAGTGTTTGACACATGTAAGATTTATCATTATATCTATAAGACTAATGTTGTCTTTGCTCTAACATTGTCAAATGTAAGTTATCTTAAAAGTATTGTAAAACTAAAAGTGTTTTAGATATTTGAAATTTATCACTATTGTTACATCTAAAGTTTTTTTTTTTTTGCATTGATCTATCATTGTTAAATATCAATTATTCTACAGATTCTGTGAAACTAAAGATATTTCATTTGTCTTTGAGGAACCAAAGTATATTTTCATTAAATTGTTGGAACTAAGTGGCTGTTTACAGTTGTTATAATTACGAATTATTGAGAATTGTTTTCATAAAGTTAGTTGAGTGAGTGAAAAGGATAAAATGTTTTGATAAAAATATGATAGAAAATGCTGACAGAATTAGCCATTTTTTTATTTTTTCCCTTCAATGCTCTTTATAAATGGGGCTAACAGGACATTTATTTTATTCTTTCTTGCTCCACACCAGGTCTAATATTTCAACCTGTTTATGTTTGATAAAAGTGATGTAGGTAGGTCTTGAATTATGGAATAATATTCGATAAATGTGAACGGTCCCTAAAGTATCTTAGCTATTTGTATGAAACTGTAATGAGCAAAGCATATTAAGTGTTTCTTTTCCCTTTTAGTTTAGATAGGTGGACATTTTTCATATTCACCAAAAATGTTTAAGTTTTTTCGCAAGTACATGCACACATCAACATAAATATATTTGACAATAGCAACCAGTTCTCGATGTGGATAATTTACACGTGTCCTAGTTACTCATTGTTATATGCTATATACTGGTGCAACTTGAATTTTGTTTGCTTTGTTGTGAAGCACAAAGTTGCACAATGGGCTATACATACTGTACCCACCACAAATGTTGAAACCCGATTTTCAGTATTATAAGCCCTCAGACTTACCAATGAGCCACTGGAAGAGAGGGTTTCCTATGGAAGAGTTTGCTGTATTATATTATGTAACTTCACTTACGAAGTAAGCACTCATAATCTTTGACTGTGTTTGTTGCATACACAGTGCATGAGAGTCTTTTGTGTAAATAGGCTATTCTGTCACATATAATAGGTTTGAGTTGATGAGAACAAAGCTCTGTAGGGAACGTTTTACTTGGGGTGGCTGTTTGTTTGGCCACAAAAGGTGTTCAAGGAGGGTTGCCTTTTGAGCAATCAGTTATAAATTATTTCTCTTTCCGCTCATCTGGGGAAGCTAAACCTTCTCAGACCTCTTATAAGTGTCACCCTTTGTTTGTTGTAAATATATATCACTTTGCACTATATTTTGCACTCTTTTATCTTTTTTAAACACAGTGAGATATTATAATGTAATTCTATCTAACATTTTCTAACATTCCTCCTGTTATATACATTTACTATTTTTATATGTAAGGTGATCAGTGTACCTGAGATTATTGCATAGTTTTCATTCTTCTTTTCCTATGGTATTGCCACTTTGGAGAACAAGACAAGTTTGCACATGTGTATAAAAAGTTTGAACTACCATCTTTCTTAAAGGATATTTTGTGTTACTCTTTTATATTGAACTTTTCCATGCAATCACTAATAAAGGGATTTTGATACTGTTCTTCTATATAATGAATTATCATTACCAAGTGGTTTTATCTTTGTATTGTATCGTAAAATATTTATCTTTGTTATTACTTTTTTCTTATGTATATTTAAAGCTGTGAAGCGTGTTTGTACAGCACTAGAGTAAGACATCGTAGAAGCACATCTGGATTCAGGTATTTGATTTTTTGTAAACACAAAATATATAATTGGTTTTAAAGTCGAAAGATAAAATGGTCAGGGAAGCTGGAGAGGAAAAGGAAGGAGAGCTGTAATGAACCTTTCTTGTTCAAGAAAATATTCAACATTTTTAATTTAACACTTGCACGTGTTTGATGGATGTGTAGTACATATAAAACACTAGATAACCACCTTTGGAACGTGGTGATCTTATTTTTGAGAAAATCACACATATTTAAGGGTTTTTATAATTTTGGTATTTCTGAACATTCTCACGGAACGTAGAAGTGGAGAATTCCTTAAGCTTCTGCTAATTCATTTTCTAGTAACATCAATCATGTAAAGGTTTAGAAATACCTAAAGTGTCTGTCTTCCCTATTTTTGCCAATGAGTGATAACTGCACTGTGGGACAAGTGATCATAATTGATATATATATAGCTGTAGATGATCTCAATCTTATGCATATTGTTCTTTTGATATAGATCTCTCCATATTTAAGAGAAATACAGCCATATTTTGCATTGTAAACCCTCTTGTTAATTAAGTTGTGTTTTGTTGAATAAATAAACCATGTTTTTGTGTTACTGCACAAACTTGTATCAAGTCAGAATTATTACTAACTCTTGTTAAATATTTTATCAAGTTTCTAGTATTGTTTCTACTTTCAGGAAGTCAGTTTATTTGAGAATACCGTAACCGAAATATCGTAGAGCAGTTACTTATGTTTTTGAGGATGCCAGTTTTTTCTGTAATGTTTGAAAAGTGTGTATGTCTGTAAGCTTTTGTGTGACGTCTTGTGTCGTCTATAATGCTATCTTTTGTGGATATATCAATGTAAAAAGTAATACCCGCTGAGCTATTTTGCTATTTAATAACGAAACCAGTTTATGATGTGGTAAATCTGGAACTTATGGTGAATGAGAGGTATGCAGTGGTTTGGTAACAATTTTGTACCATAGTTTTCTTTGTTAAATAGTTTTTTCCAAGCCTTGGATACTGTTCCCTAATTAAATATCAACAATGATTTTAAAAAACCTGAAGACTGAGGTCATCTGCTCTTCTCAAAACCACAGATTTATTGATTCCACCACAAAGTACACACCACAGATTTATTGATTCCACCACAGAGTACAAACCACAGATTTACTGATTCTACCACAGAGTACAAATCACAGATTTATTGATCCCACCACAGAGTACAAACCACAGATTTACTGATTCTACCACAGAGTACAAATCACAGATTTATTGATCCCACCACAGAGTA